TAGTAGAGTGTGTGATGTGAAATTGCCACGGCTTGAAAAACAAATGAATAGCCCTCCCAGAGCTGTGGGGATACATTCCAACAGCATGCTCAAATATTGTTTTCATCATGTCCTGTGCTACGCGCTTGCTTGTTTGAGAATTCTTGTATTGTTGTTTTTAAAGTCATATTTGTTTGCATGCTAAGCAGATATACAAAATACACTCTTCATGGATTTCCTATCACTGTTTGGGCAGTGTAGAGTTCGATACTTCAGAAGCGTGGAAACAATGAAAGTAACAATTAATGATTGACAAGTATGCTTTCTCCTATCCCCGTAACTCTGTTCTGTAAATGAAAAGAATGTGAAGAATGAAAATAAGAAATTCAATAATTTTATTTAAAACTTAAAAAAGAAAAACTGGTCAATCATAGGATAAGAGCTAGCCAACCTAGTCTCAAGAAGGAAAACCTTTTAAATAATATATTTCTGAACTCCCATCTGAAATGTATATCTTTAGGGCAGTAATCATCAGTAACAAAGTGGAGTAGCGTGGAGCTCAGTTTTAATGTCTTGCATCAGTGAACATTCCTCAAAAGCACAGAGCATCACTAATGGAATTATATGTTTTCATGCTGTAATTACATTTGATTTTTCCTGATATTTCTGTGGACTTTTTGTTCACGGTTCCGTGACTAGACAGAATATTTACAAGTTTTCTACGTCCTCTGTCTATATAACTCCCCCGCCCCCCAAAAGGAGAGAGACTAGCAATAGAAAGGTTTTAACAAAAAAAGGGCAAAATATATGTTTTTAAAACTATATTCAAGCTTCAGAAATTTATATCAATAACAATAAAAATACCAACAACACAAAAGAAAAAAGGAGATGGAACTTGATGAACATGAAGGAGTTCATCAGGGCCCCAAATTCTTTGAGACACAAAATAAGGTCTTAAATATTTTTGTTCTTGGCCTTAAATAAACATATTTTGTATGAAATGGACTTTATTTCATCTTTGGATATGTTCCCTCAAATGATCTTATCTCTGGGCGACAGATGACTCCAAAGCAGAGTTATACTGACCAGAAAGTACAATATCAATATGGCACAATGATTATCCATGTTAGAAAAGTGAGACTCTCCAGTCATGAAATCCACAGAACTCGCTAGTGGGAAATTTAAATAATTAGACACCATTGTGGAAGCACAGTATATTATTATTGTCTTACACATCTTTCCCTTCATCAACTATTTATGTGTCATTTTGTTGTTGTTGTGTGCTGTCGAGTTGGTTCCAACTCATAGTGCACCCTGTTTGGGTTTTCTGAGGTTGTAAATATTTCTAGGGGCAAAAAGCTTCATCTTTCTCTTGAGGAATGATTGGTATGCTTAAACCACTGACCTTTGGTTAGTAGTCCAATGCTTACTCTATAAAGCCACCACACTCTCTATGTATGTTTCATTAACATCAATGGTTTTGGTTCTCCTTAGCACCTGATTCAGCTTCTCTAGATTTTAATGGTTATGGTATATGTGATTTGCACTGACTTCAAATAGGCTTACATTTTAGGGCTTCCCTATTAGAAAGTGAGGAAGAAAATTAGTTTTGCAAGATAGGTAAATTATGAAGTTGTTGTTGTTAAGTGGCAATGAGTCATTTCCAACTCATAGGGACCCTGTATAGGTTTCCGAGGAGCCGCTGGTAAATTTGAGCTGCCAACCTTGCAGTTCAAACTGACCTTGTGGTCCATCCATCGCCTTATCCCACAGTGCCATACCAGGACTCCATATTATGAAGAGGGACTTTAATTGGCAAATTGCATCAGTTCAGGTGTGTAGATGAATGCCTCTTGACTTGACCTAGGTTAGGTTGCCTATTCTTATCAAGGCTGTAATGGTGGTTATGTGCCAATGAGTCCGTTCCAACTCACAGTGACCCTGTGTAGGGTTTCTGAGGCTCTAAATCTTTATGGGAGCAAATAACTTAATCTTTCTCCCATAAAGTAACTGGTAGATTCAAACTGTTCACCTTGTAGTTAGCAGCCCAGTTTGTAATCCACTAAGTTAGCAGGGTTCCTTGTTCTTATCATAACTTGTAGTAAAGTTAGCCTTATACTTCCCAAGTTCAAATACAGTTTTTGAAATGCCTTTTTTTAGAACATTGAAAATACACTTTCAGTTCTCTCTCCTCAAATCTCTGCAGTCTGGCTTCTGGCCCAGCCACTCAACCCAAATCACCCTCTAAGGTCTTCCAAAATAACTTCTCAGCCAAAACCAATAGTATCCTTCTAGACTTGTCAGCTATATTCAAAACCACATTCTTCTCCTCTCTAATAACCATTCTGATCTCAAATTCTGAGGATTTGTCCCTCCAGTTTTCCATTTTCCTTATCTCCAGACTCACGCCTAGAGTAGTTCTCTCTTAAGGCTCTTTCCATATTTCATGATTTCAAGAACAGTGTTTACATGAGTCATTCCCCTATATGTTTAGCTCTAACCACCCTTTTAGCATTTAGACCTATATCTCTTGATCTCAGACATCTAAATACAGTTAAACCTGGTAAAATAACAAATCTGGCCTTGCTTCTCAAGTCCTTGTTTTGTCTAATATCTTGGTTTCTATAAACAAAATTTGAGTCATTTTGCTTCTTAATCTCTTCACTTTCATTGTTGTTGGTAAGTGACAGTAGAGTCTGATCCAACTCACAGTGACCCTGTATAGGGTTTCCAAGGAGCAACTGGTGGGTTTGAACTGCCAACCTGGTGGCTCAAACTGACCCTGCAGCCCAGTGCATTATCCAATATTTTCTTCCTAGATTGTTATTGTTATTATGTGCTTTTAAGTTGTTTCCAGCACATACAACATATGTACAACAGAACAAACTGCCCAATCCTATGCCATTATTAATTTATATATTGTTGTTGTTATGTGCTGTGGAGTCAGTTCCGACTCATAGCGACCCTTTACAGGGTTTTCAAGGCTGTAAATCTTTATGGGAGCAGAAAGCCTCATCTTTCTCCCGTGGAACAGCTGCTTGTTTTGAACTGCTGACCTTGCGGTTCACAGCCCGATTCGTAAACACTACGCTATGTTGCATTTGAATTACGGTGCTGGTGCGGAATATTGAATAAAACATGGCATACCGTAAGAACAAACAAACATGTCTTGAAAGAAGTAGCACCAAAACACTTCTTGGAAGTGCGAATGGCAAGACTTCATCTCATGTACTTTAGACATGTTACCAGTTGGGACCATCTGGAGAAGTGCAGCGTGCTTAGTAAAGCAAAGAAGGGAAAGACACTCAACAAACTTAGTGACACAGTGGTGGCAAACATGGATTTAAATATAGGAATTATTGCTTATACT